AAAAACGCACGCAAATAATTTAATTAAAAATTTTAATAAATCTCCTACTTTCAGATATCTCATCAAGCATCTCGTACACAAATGGGGCTTCGAAGCCAAAAATCTGCTCGTAGATGAGACATGGGATGATTTTGCATCAGTGGCGTGGCATGAGACTCCAGTTTTCTATGATCCCGCATACATATTCCCGCAACGACATTACAATGGTAACGCTAATGACTTCAGCGGCTATAAATATATAACACCACCACTGGGTGGTGTTGGCGGCGGTAAATATAGTGACGACTCTTACCGGTCTTATTCTAAGCAGCCAACAACTGAACAACCAACGTGAGTGATGACTAGTAAAGATTTAAAAATTCTAGTTGATTATTCCAATATTCTATTCAAATGACTTCTACTTTCATTTTATTTAGCTTTCTCTTCTACGGCACTAGTGGTTCACGTTTGAATTTGAATAAAAATCAAGTGAATCCATTTCATGGCAATCTAAAAAGTACGCCAAATAATCCGACTTATTGGCTGAAGCGCATTGTGCGTGACATCAGTCATGGTTACACTAGTGCTGCAGAGAGCAATCCTCTAACGGCTGCAGATAAAACGAAAGCAAACAACACGAAAGACACTGAAACTGAAGGTGAAAAGCCTACCACATCTCGAGATGTTTCTCTCAATATGGATCTCTTGGACATTGTCGGCGTGAACAAGGAAGACAGTAGTTCACGTTCTAAACGTCAAAGTCCTGGTCGCTCAACTCTCTGTCAGACCACTTCACAATTCATCACTCCACAGGCCGCTCTAAATAGCAAAGGAAACTGGATGTTTGTGGTAAATGAGGCCAACACTGCGCGTCAAATGGTCAAAGCGGAATTATGCGCGTAAGTACTGAGTTTTTATAATTTTTTACATATTCCCAATAATTTTAAGAAATAAACAAAATAAATCAAATTCTTGAGATAACGGAAAGTGATAATATTAAAAAACAAAGAGCTTCATCTTTTGTATAAGTAGCCCACAATCGCTATTATGTTACCGCACATCCGTTCATGACAATATCTTTTTGAAAACCAATCTGTGCAGTTGATAAAGGAGATTATTTTTTGAAATTCTTTGTTTGGAACGATCTGTGAGGTTCGTCCCAAACATGAATTACAAAATTTGTAAGAGCAAGATAATTCATAACCTACACATGAACTACTTACCATTTAAAAGTAATCCTGATTTCAATGCAACATGGAAGTACTCATTTGTTAACTTCACACTAGTCTCCACCAAATAAAGCTTTCAAAATTGTTTTTGATGGACTATATCCTTTTTATGATCACCTACCCTCTACAATAGTTGTCAATTCTTACACCAGAAGTAGAGCCAGCTATTAAAGCAATCATGTTTTCATCACCCTCTTGAAGTGCTAAGATTAAAAACCAACTGCGCTTTGTTAAGGCCTCAAAATGTTTCTAAAATCAACTATGAGTTAGGATCTTATTAGTAGCTGAATCATAGTGGACCATAAAATCTGAATAAATTGATAAACTATTTATATTTATATAGGAAAGCCACGGAGAGACGCGGAAAGAGTTCCGGCTAAAAGTCTAAATCTGCTGACTATATATATGATGACTCTATATTGACTCACACCTTAATCTGCATCATTTGCATGTATATTATAATGTGATTAACACTATGAATATAAATAATCTTAAGATTTATAGTGTTAATTAAATTTCAAACATAGATCACTAGTGCAAATGCGGTTACATTCTAAATGGCTACGGGATTTAAACATAATTGCAATCCCTTTCTTTTCTTATATATGAAGAACAGAATAATACCAGGGCACTTAATCTGCAAACAATAGTGAACAAAGCTGGAAAATTATAACGCTTGACTGATGAAAAGACCAGAAAAGACTAGAGGATACACAAAAAAGTGGCTTCACTTTGAATTTCTTGGTTTCAGTAATGAGTTTAACAAGATCAAATAAAGGAAGACCTAAGACACTGTTTACGCTCAACATATCATAACCCAATAGTCTTAGTTTCCTTCTAGCAAAAGTTCAGCAATAATAGAAAATATTCAGGCTTATCATCCTTCTCATGACTATATTGATATGTTGAATCTCTAATAACTATCACAGTTTAAATATGTTATATATTAGTGCTGCCCCATGAGGTTCTTTCTCTTCAGAGAAAAACAGAAATTCTTCAAAAATTTTGCTGGTTTCCTTTAAGCTTTTTTCGTACCATCTTCATCTTCTCTGGTAAACGGCATTAAAGAAGTCATTAAACCAGCGAGGCACTTCTGCCGAGCTGACATCGAAAATTTGTTTTGTTAGCATCTTAGCAGAGTACTGAATAACCATGCAATCATCCATTATATTCCCTTGACATTGCAATTTCAAATAGTCCTATATTTTGAAATAGTCCCCAATTTCAAATAGTTCCCATACAAATAGTCTATTGTATTTTGCAACAGTGTTTAATCTTACATTTATTTATTGTCTCTGAAGAGCTGACGGGCTTAATAAGAGCTTTAAGGCAGCCTGACTGTCACAGCAAATGTAAATGTATTTCCCATGTCTTTTTTTCAATGATTCAGTTGCCCACATTAAGTATGACAAACACTTCTGCTAAGAAAACGGTCTTCACATTTCCGTTGAAAAACGAATTGTTAGTTTTATCATCCAGGTATTCAGATATCCATAGACCCACTGCTATTGAAGGTTTTGAAGTTAGTTGTCTAAAATATATTTGTCAGTCTCTGAGCAAAAATTCGTAACAGGATCTTTGTTCACAGTTCACGTTCTAGAAATATAGCATTATATTTTCGTCTGCAACATACAAAGAATTGTTAGTTGGTACTAGTTGGTGATATATTCATCTGTCACTTGTATTTGTCATACCATATCTCATATGTTTTGAGTAAAATTAGCAATTACTTAATAATTATTATTAGTAATTGGATTAAGTTAAGTTTTATACGTTAATAATCTTATAATAGTTAAAAAATTTCAATAATTTTAAAATTATTGAAAAATTTAAAAATTTTTAATTAAAATTACAAAAAAAAACATTATTTCTTTAATTTATTTACTATAATAAACTACGACTACTTCGCTCAATAAAAGTATATATTCACCATAGGTTCGAGTATTTAATAAACTACTTCCTTCCGTTATAGTAAATGTATTACGGTTATAACATAACTTGTGCGCAGTGTACCGCTAAGACCGTAATCTTACGGTCTCTCACAATTAAGTGGCTTGCCACAAAGTGCAATTTTGAAGCTTTGATGAGATTAGCTAATACAACAACCTGAATTATTATATTAAAGACCGTAATATATACAGTCTTATTTATGTGAAGTCTCATAATTTGAGACAAACATCGTAACATCCAAAAACTAGGTCTATTCATTGCAAATGAAACATAAAATAGTAATCGAAAATTGCACTTAATAGGCTAAATGGACCTGAACAGTTGAAGCAAGTGCGTTGGAGGTTTCTGCTTCAATAATACTGAAATTAGTAAGAATTATAAACTGTGATGCAATGAACATAATATGGGAAGTATTTAAGATAAAAAAAGAATTCTGAAGGCATTAAGATAGAAAATAATAATCCAAATATGGATCTCATTCCATCATTAACTGGACAGATTTTAACAAAAATTCAGTTAATCACTCCTTAGATTTTGCTATTTTTTTATTATTAAATAATAATTTATTATTATTAATTATTTTTATAAGTCAATAAAATAGAAAGACTTCTATTTCAAATTAAGTTTTTAGAAATTTGTTTCCTATACGATATCAGCTCATTGGTTTTGCGATTATACATTTTTAACTGATTTTTCTAATGACCATGTCTTAGGTCTATATATGGTGGAATCTTAAAGTTAACTCAAATTTTAATGTACGGATTATAGAACATTTCTCAATTAATTTAAATAATTAAAATTTTTTATATTTAAGTACTATTATTAACCATTAGTTCGGAACAAATATTTTTTTCAAATCATGCATCAAAAATGATTATTTTTAATTTTAAATTTGATTGAATCATTACATTTTACATAAAAATCAGAAATTTCAAAATGATTTCCTCTTAGAAAGCATTTTTAAAAAGTTTTTTTATCGCATACCTAAAATCAAACGCGTGTGTATGATATATACACTGTATGATATTTCAAAAAGTTTTTCACAAAACTATTTATTTCTAATATCTGTTATTGATAATTCAATTAATCACCTAACAAGGTTAGGAATCCAATCCAACTCAAACTGCAGGATTGTAGAGAAGAGAGATAAATCACATACTATGTGCTAGGGTAGTGTCGGGACAGATGCACAATGGGAGAAAACACATAGGGAATATAATGGCTGATTGCATGGTATTTCATGGTACATGAGAATTCAAGACTAGGAAAGAAAGGTTCGATACGGTCTATCATTAAAGAAATTGGATTTGGAGAAACACTCTACTCCGATTAAGAAGCACAATAGATCTTTTAGATCGCAAAGTACTATCCCTTCTTCATAATAATAATAAACGTGCTTAATTGAAGCGTATTTGCGGTTTATACCTTCACTATTATTAAATTCAAGTATATGTATGTATCAATAGTGTTCACATGAAAGTGAAGAGCTTAACTGCTGCTTTGAATATTTTAATAAAATAAAAGCATATAAACGAACTTTTGAAAATCCGAAATATTAATGGTGCGAATCTAAACTGATAAATGCACTATAAATGTATATATTTATCTATTTGGTAAATGAACTACTTGCTCTATACGAGTAGATAACATAAAAGAATTTTTAAAACTAATAACTAATTCTTTTATAATTTCTTCAATTTCTATAATTTCTTCGGAAAATATAGTCTTCAGGGTTAGAATCTATACTTAAATACTTCATTAATTATGCGAAAACAGATCTTCATGCTTTATATTAAAGACTAGCGCTCTTTAAAAAAAGACATAACCTATCGTCGGTTATCTCCAAACAGTTATCTCCAAAGAATAAGTTGTCTGCATTTCTTTTAATCGTATTAATCGTAAAGTGTACTTTAACAAACAAAAAGATTCCATTTGAAACCTAAGCATTCTGAATTTTGTGAAGCAATTTCTATAAATTCCCGATTCTAATAATAGTTTAATAATGTTTAAGTTTTATTCCTGAATTATGCTACCCATTATTAAAATCACAAACCATCTGGTATAACAAACAATAAGTTTAAAAAAAAAAACATTTTGATAGTTTAAAAGTGCTTACATTAAGCACTAATTTCACATTTACACAAACTTAAGTGCTAAATGAGGTTTAAGCAGCACTTCCCTTGTAAATTCATTTGACTATAATTTCTTGATTATATTCTAATTAAATACATCAGAATTTTATCGAAAAACATGCTTAAAATATGCGTCCATAATTTTTTTCTACAAGTTGGTAGCACTATTAACGATTAAGTAATCGTATATCGAAAATTTTTTAAACACGTTTTTTGTGAGATCATTTTTTTTCTAAATATCTATTATATAAATTATCTGTGATATTACAATATGAAATATAAGCGCGAACTATCGCAAAATATCTTTACATCAGCTGTTTTTATATATTATACCTTTGAGTGTTGTGTGAGTGTTCTGTGAGTTTTCTCTGGTGTGCAAGAGTTTTTGGACAAAACATAACAAGTCTGATAAATCAAACACCTTACTCAACTGATACAGTTTCGTGCGACAATTTTAACTTCCAGTAGCTGGTAATACCACTTTTAGGGAAGATGTTTGGATTTGATTGAGTTGGGAAGCAAAAATTCACTAAAGATGTTTGAAGAATTGGATCAATTGTTATCATCATTGTATCGAACACAAAACAGTCTA